GCTCAACTAATGCTGCTTCTGCGCCTTCGTCATGCAGTAGTCTTTACTTCATTAGTAGTGCATGTGCACAATTTCCTTCGGCGCTTCTCGCAGGACCCCAAATAATTATCGAAGAAGGAGGAAGATAAATTCTTTCGAGCTTGGAAACTGTTAGATTTATGGAAGCTTTTAACCTTTAGAAAAACTGAAGCAGCTATATGCAGTGCGTTTAGGCTGGGTTCATACTGATTTGTAAGTGAACAGTTCCAGCACAGCTGTGCAGTTCGAGCGTGCTGGAACTGCTTCGGAACTAAAGGATCAGTGTGAACCCAGCCTTACCTGTTTCAAATCAAAATTTGTGTAGATCCTACGGATACTCACAAATTTCGTTGTTTTTGATCCAATAGTTCATCAAAGCCCGAAGTGATTGGAATAGTCCTGACCTCTTTCTGCACAATTTCATCAAATTTCTCAGGCTTCCCCTATAATTAGTTAAATTGTAAGTATTAAACGTACCATATCTTTCAGTGTCTAGTCCATCGGCGGTTAGCATGGGTGATGTTCGGCATCATGGCGGTCTTTGTCACAGCAATGTTTGCGGCTGTGCTATGGGCATGGTTGGGAGGTGGAGCAGCGTCACGATCGTTCCACGAACACTTTGCCGCTGCCGAAAAGGAAGAGGTGTTTCTGACGGAACTCGAGGAAAACCTCGATTGCATCACCGATGATGACAAGGAGGTGGCTGATGAGCATGTGAGCGTGGCGTGGTACTTTCCTGACACTTTTATTTTGTTTCCCAACAAGCATGCTTTACCTTTCCTGTATAGACAGATGGAGCTAGAAAAGAGGACTTTGTGACAATTCCACTGTGAATTCAGTATATGTTCTGAGTGTCGTGCATGCTCTCAGTTTGATTTCAGGATCTTAAAATGGAAAAGACATTTGTTGCGTACCGAGCTTTTCAACAAAGTTCGCGTCCCTAGCAATGATGACTGAGGGGTCCATTTTCAGTTGCTAATGTATTTAACTTAGAAAACTTGCTACAAATCACAAAGAACATGTGACTCTACCTTTTTTGGGTGTAGTGTCGTGAAAACACTCATCTACATTGGCGCGTTGTCTCATAATTTTCCGATAACGCTAAAAACATCATTTCTTGAAAGCGGCACCCACGGAGGTACCTACGTGTGATGATCCTACTCTTGAACATTACATGATATATTCATGTGCTGGAGGACCCCAAAACTATTGGGGCGGGCTTTTATCCATAATCTTTTCCTTTAATTCGAATCACAGAAAAAATACAGGGAACTGTATATAACGATATTCTGATGTATGAAGTACTTGCTTGTATAACTGGAGACTTGTAAGAGTTTGGAACGGACGTTGATTGCTGAGTATCGTTTTGGCTACTATCAGAATTTCTATTTGAATACCATCTACGCGATGCTTTTTATTTATAGAGTTTGGTTTGCTTTGTCGGAATGTCAAGCTGCACATAGTAAAAGAGG